TAGGCAGGGACCCTTGCAGCTGTAATTACTTGAGTGGCAGTGGAGGGGTTCAGGGCACAGAAAAGGCACCAGATGTGGTCCTTGGGACAAAGCCGGTAGGGGTGGAGAGTGACTGAATCATCTGTCAACCAAGAACAGCCAAATGGCCCCGAGCCTTCTCTAGGCCCCCTCCTGGGCAGCCAGCCCCTCCACAGGTCCCAGTCCTGCCAGTGTCACTTGCTGGGGGATTAGGGACTGTGATGTGCTTGCCTCAGTTTCCCCTTCTTCTCCACCACTCCCAACCCTCTTTGCTGGGCCAAAGCCCTTGGAGCTGAAGCTGCGGCCCTCCACCCCCACGGAGCAGGCACCTGGCTAAGGCCTCGCTCTTCACATCCCAGGGTCAGAGCAGAGTGGCCCTGCCTCTCTCCCCTGGGCCTCCAACAGGAAGGCAAGAGGCAGACTAGCAGTGGGAGGAAGCAGTGCCCCAGGAGAAGAGGCCCCATTCCAAGTGGCAGTCGATGGTCTGCAGGGACAAGAGTCCCTTTTGGAGACATTGAGCCTGAAAACAGCACTGTGAGGTACCGACAGAGGCTGCCAGGGTGACAGGCCAGGGCACGCAGGCTCTTTGGCGTCCCAGGAAGAACCCAGACTTGGGCAGAGGCCTGGGTGCTGGGGATGAGAAAGGCCCATCCCACTCAGCACTCTAAGCAGGGCAGAGTCTGCGGGGAGGCCAGTAAGGTGTGGGGCATGGCATTTCCAAGGGCACCCACTCTCGAGGTCATGTAAACCCCTCCCAGATGCCTACCTGCCTCACTGAACCCAGCGGCGATTCCGAGATTCTCTAATGTATTGTCAAAACCTCATCCTTAGGATTATTTTTTTCATAGAGGATGAACAATAATGTCTTCTATCATTCATTTGCTCATTTACCAAATATGCAGAAATTGTCTACTATGTGCCAGGCACTAGCCTAGGCCCTAGGGCACGTGCACTGGTCAGAGAAGAGAGACAGAGACAGTGAGAGAGAAAGAGAAATCACTCCCCAGCAGGGATGGCCATGCTGCAATCCCATTCTCCTCTAGAGATTTTGGGCATGCAAGCACATGTGACCAGCATGAGTTTCAAGCCACCAGGTCCAGGACTCGAACTGTGGTCAGCCATGTGGGGATCCAGCACCCCAACCACCATGCCACCTGCTGGCCTCATAACAGCCTTTTGATCACCCCACTTTCCAGGCGAGAAATTGGGGCACGAAGAGTGCATAGACCACGTTCACAGTAGGAGGTGGCAGGCTAGAATCTGAACCCAGATTGCCTAGCACCAGACAGAGAGGAGTTAGTGTCCTAAATTCTCTTGAAGCTCTTCCTCATAACCAAGCAGGGTTTCTGGGGGAGTCTTGGGGCCTGAGGGCCCCTTGCACACTGACCCCTCAAGCCAGCCCCTCGGAACTCCCAGATCTGGCAAAGCAGGGTAGCAGGGCTCCTCTCTGTCACACTGCAGGGAGCGAGCTCAGTAGTAGCAGCCCTGCAGCTGGCAAGCAGTGAAGCCAAGGTCTGCTTCTGCTCCCAGAATCCTCTGGGGTGGGAGCACGGGCAAGTGGCAGGACTGTGAACGGGAGGTGCTCCTGCACTGCTGCCCTGGGTGGGGCACTAGCACCAGGTTGTCACCTGCAGGGCCCAGGATGCCAGGTGTCATTTCAGTGCCCATTAGAGGACTGTGCGCTAGGAGGCTGAGTGGCCTGCCGGGAAGAACAAAGCCCAGTTCCTGGCTCCCGCACGTCCATATCCAGCTGAAAGCGCCGGGCACAGCGCCAGGCAAGGAAGAGGTGTGCTGAAAGCACCACAGCACCCGCGCTCTGAGGAGGCTGAGGAACCGAGGGGAAGAGTGACAGGCTTGTCCCAAGCTCACCTCCTACCGCAGGAACGCCTGCCTCTCCACCCTTGGAAGTTCTGCCGCTTTCCCAATGCCCTGCATCCTCCACACATAAGCGTTTGGTGGATTGGGCTGACCCTCCGCGTGTCCCCGTCCCACCCAGCCTAAGGCAGCATGGCATTCCGGTAAAACTGAAACCCCGCCGGCAGCTCCCTCCATCCTAGAAAGGGCCAGTAGCCTGTGTGGGAGGGCAGAGCGATGGGCAGGAGGGAGGCGGACTGAAAGGTGCATTGCGGGCTTCCCCGGCTTCACCCAGCACAAGGAGGTATCAGCAGGACACGTGTGCCCTCTAGTGGTCAGAGGTCAACCAGTCCCCAACCGCGGAGAAAGGACGGGGTCCCCAGCTCAGAGCTAGCAGAGCTGGGGAGGACTTTGAGCGTTGTAGGCTTAGCCCCATCATTTTACCAGGAAAGAGAGGACATGAGGGAGGCACGCTGGGAAGACAGACAAGCTGAGATCAGACTCAGGTTCCCAGTCGTCCCAGACTCCCACTCTGACCTGAGCAGCCCCCGCAGCATCCCACGGGCTCCGGGCCTCCTTAAAGATAGGGAAACCGTGGTTGACAAGGTCAGAGCTGCATGCAAAATCCTGGCCATTGGATTAACTCTTCTGCTTCAGGAAAGAAGCCACCACAGCCAGGGCCACAGAAAGAGCGCCGTGATGACCATGAACTGTTACGCAGTGCCTGTGATGCACCTGCGCTGTCTAGGAGTCTATCAGCACACCTGCAACAGCCCTTTACCACCCCACTTTCCAGGTGAGGAAACGGGGCACCAAGAAGTCCAATGAACAGACAAGGCACACAGCTAGGAAGCGACAATCTGAACCCAGGCTGCCTGGCCCCAGACAGGGAGAGGCGTGGCAGCTGGGTGGGGATGTCATTTTCATTCCAAGGGCTCTGGGGGGCCAGGTCTCCTACTGTCTGCATGGCAGGTCCAGCCTCTAGCTCCAGGCAGGCTGGCAAGAAGTGAACAGTCCTGCTAGAGAGGAAATCCATGCCAGGGGAGCCCACGGTCTAGCTGGCTGCCCTATTTAGAACCAGGATTGGGGCCTGGACCTCCTGAGATCCAACCCATGGGAAGGAGATAATCGTCCACCAAATGGGTAAGAATGCTGCTCTGGTCTTAGCTCCAAATATCACCAGTGCCTGCCCCAGACCCGCCAACCTCCACACATCTGGCCTGCTCAGGGCTGGGGCACCCACTGTGCTAACTGCGCCACTGTATGAAATGACCAGGATGTTCTGCTCATCAGCCAAACATTTTATCTCTTACAGAGACCAAAGCGAATTCTCTTCACTCCTCTTTCCAACCCTGCAGAGCCTATGAGGCAGGCTTCTTCTCTTCTTGGTTTAGAAAAAAAAGAAGTATCTAAGCAGAGAAATTGTCTGCTGGGGCAGCCCCTCACTCCCAGGTGAGTGGGCCCTGGCCCCGCACCCCCTCTCTACTCCAGACCTCCCCTTCCAGTCTATCGGGCCATCCCCTGCAGCCTCGAGCAACATCGCCTCCACTGGGCGCCTCCGCTCAGCCTCCAGGGGCTCCCTGTGGTGTTCAGGATCGAGTCCAGGCTCCTGCGCGGCTTCCGAGCCTTGACCATCTGAAAGCAGCCTACATCCCAGCCTCATCTCCAGCCAGATGCCATCCCTCCAGGTGTCCTTACTCCAGGAAGCCCAGCGTTCTCATTTGTCCTGAAAATGCCGCCTTCCTCCACGCCTTCACACGGCGTTTTGCTTTCGGTTGGGAAGTTCACTGACTATTCTGCCCACAGGTCCTCCCTGGATCCTTCGGGTCCCAGCTCATAACCCTTGGCTTTGGGGACAGTTCCCGTTGTGCTTCTGTCCTCTCCCTGGTCCTGTCTGATCTCTTCCACGTGGCTTGGGGGCAGAGCGGCCAAGACCAAGGCTCTAGCACTTTTTCCTCATTTCAGGCAAGGTAGGTATCCGCCCGGTGCCTCGGTTTCCTCCTCTGTGCTGCAGGGGCCAGTGGGCTGCTGCCACAGTCACACTGACCCAGTCCATGGCGACAGCTCCGTGGAGTGCCCGCACACAGCCCTTGCTACGACCAAGCTGCCAGCCTTATTGTCACCTCCAGCTTACTACAGCGGTCAGCGTCTCCCCACAGAGGCTCTGGGGAGCTCTCATCCACCTTGGTGTCCCTGGTTGCTAGAACAGTGTGTGACAAAGAGTAGACACTCCAGAAAGCCCATGGAAGGGAAGACATTTCCATCCATGTCTGGGTCCCCGGCCCCAGCAAGACCCACGTGTGGTGGGCAGGAACCAGGACTGGATACCACTTTATAAGCTCCCTGTAACAGCTCAGGGCCGGGCTACCAGCCAGCGACTGGAATCCAGAGTGTTCAGGAAAACTCCACGGAAGCCCAGTCACTCGGGCTGTTTCTAGATAAAGACGAGTCTCCCGCCTCCGTTGTGTGCACAGCAGGCTGGCAGCCCTGCCCTTTCTCTCTGGAGCCTTTACATTCGTCCCCCAAAGCCCAGCCCATGACATTGTCCCCCGCCTCATCACCTGAGGCATCCCTCCATCCTGGGGCTCGAGGTCACTACAACCCCCAAAGTTCCATTGTCTGCTCAGCCCTCAACCTGGGACTGTCAGGAGCTGCTTCAGTACAGGATTGATCAAGCTCAAGTTCAAGTTCACGATCCCCATTCCTGCATCCTCCCTCACTCAGGTTGGCAGAAGCTTTAGCTGCCCCCTAACCTCCACCACTTCACAGCCCCCACACCCAGGCCGCTTCATTCCAGACTCCGTCTTCCTTGAAGCCACCCTGGCCCGGGGCTCTTGTTCCTGGTTACTGAGCCCTCACTTTCTTCACCTAGATATGGCTCCCACAGCCTGCCTGCCTCCCACAGGAAGCTCTCCCTGACTCCTGAGGGAGGTTACCCAGCCTCCAGCCCCCTCTCCTCACAGGCTGGCCACTGGCCCAACTCCCCCTGTCAGTCTGCACTTGAGTCTTCTAACAATTATTGATCATACAGCAGTGCCATCTCTTGAACAGAGGGGGCAGTAGAGTTCAACGTTGAAGAGAAACCTAAGGAGTTCAAATCTCAATTCCCCTTACACCAGTCAAATGACCTCACTGGGCAAGTTACTGAGCATCTCTGTGCCTCTGTCCCTGCCCTGTAACATAAGAGTATCTACCTCATAGCCCTCCACAAAGACTAAGCAAGTCACCGTGCCAGGGTCATGAAAAGCTTAGCTGTGGTTGAGCTCCTACTATGTGCCAGATAACAGCACCGGGCAGCAGGTTCTCCAGTTTACCAATGAGAGAACTGAAGCTCAGAAGGGACCAGAACCTTGCCTATGGTCACTAAGTAAATGGCAAAGGTGGCTTTAAAGGCAGGTCTGGTTCCAAGGCTCATGCTCTTTCTGCTGCCGAGAGCCCATCACATTCCTG